GTGTACAGATGTAACTGTGTTAAAGAAGATGTGCTGTTCAGATCTAGAAGTGCTCTTCATTAACTGCAAGCCTTTCTACTTGCCGCGGGAGTTTTGCTCATTCAATCTTGTCAGTATTTACATTCCTCCGCAAGCGCACGTGAGCTCCGCTTTACAGAAACTCGCTGATCAGATCACAGAAAAACTCCCATTTCTAACTGTATTTTCTTCATTTTGGACCAGGCAAGCGGAAACGGAGCCTGCACCATCAGGAACATCTTGTGGTGTTAAAAGAAATGCAGGTGGCAGACATTCAGCAGCAGGAGCTGAACCGTGCCCAGAGGGAGCACCACTTGCAGATGGCACTTGAAGAGGCCAGACAAGCGAGGGAGCAGGAAGCGGCCTTGAGGGCAGAGGAACACTCTCAAACGGCTGCTTTCAATCAAGCATTCCTCAACGTTATGGGGATGCTTGTCCAGGCAATGAGTGGCCGAAGGGAATAGAACTCTCTGGCCAAATAATGCCATAGGCATTTGTGTTTTTGCACCTTTTTTTAAATTTAAATTTATTTTTGTTGTATTTGTCTTTTGTATATCCGTTTTGCAAATGCCATAGGCATTTATTGTGTTTTTGCACCTTTTTTTTGTGTACTTTGATAACGTTAAAATTTATTTTTGTTGTATTTGTCTTTTGTATATCCATTTTGCACTACATACATTTGCACATTGTTCAAAGTTTGCTGCTTACATTTTCACTTACATTTTTTTTATGTATATCAGACAATTGTTTACAGTTCTTGCACAAGGTACACTGGCACATTGTTTAAAATTTGCTTTTTATACTGTAATTTAAACTTTATGCCTTATGTATATACTTTTTGTATTTTATATTTTTAGAGTAGGTTTTCTGTTTATATTTTTACCTTTCTTTGTTTTGCTTCAATAAAAACTATGATCAAATAAGTGTACCTCCTTGCTATATTAAATATTTAATATTTTATGAGCAGGTAATGTATCTCTTGATAAAGACAAATGATTAATGCCAAATGCCATAAAACCAAGACATATGAAAAAAAAACAAGGGATACATTTTAAACTTTGAAAAATTGTACAAAGTACAAAAGAAAATTCACTTTACAGAACAGGCTACATGAATAGTTAACTATTCAAGTAACGCATCAGACCTGCACGAACATCCCTGCCCTCCTCCTCTACAGCCTGTGGCACTGCCACCACGGTCTCTGCTGCTGGTGGTAAATCCCAAGCATTCACATAGGCCTCTCCATGACTCTCACAAAGGTTATGTAGAGCACAACATGTCAGCACCATGGATTTCACAAGGTTGACAGCACAGTCATTTCTTTCATTTCTTTTCCGCCATCTTCCTTTTAATCGACCAAAGGCATTTTCAACAACTACGCGTGCTCTGCAGATTCTGCAGATTTAGACCTGCTGTTCTGCTGTCAGGTGTCCAGTGTCAATGAATGGTTTTAAGAGCCAGTTCTGCAAGGGATAGGCAGAGTCTCCTAGGATGTAGTAGCCAGCAGTCACCCCACCTATGTTTCTGGTGTTAGCTGGTATGTGGTTTCCACAGCTTGCCAACAGTGTTGACAGTCTCAAAACCCGAGCATCATGCAGGCTTCCAGGCAGTCCTGTGAAAACATTCCAGAAAAGTCCCTTTCCATCCACAACACCTTGAAGGATGATGGAGTGCCAGCCTTTACGGTTGAAATAGTCACAGTGATATTCCTCTGGTGCTATGATGGGGATGTGTGATCCATCAATAGCACCAATACAGTGTGGGAGTCCCCACCTGTTCTCAATGTAGGCAGCCATTTCTTTAAACTTTTCCTGATCTGGATAACGAATTTGCTCTGGTACCAACAGGGTTTCTGCTGCTGCACAGAACTCCTGAACACACCGACACACAGTTGTTATGCTTACACCAAAAAGATGTCCAACACTTCTGTACTCAGCGCCGGTTGCAAGCTTCCACAGTGCGATGGCTACTCTTTTCTTTAGAGGTACACACACGCGGAAGTTTGTGTCCCGTCTCTCCATCGCTGGACGCAGTTTGTTGCATAAGTGGATAAATGTTTCTTCGGACATTCTAAAGTTCTCCAGCCACTGAGTGTCTGTAAAACCGGGAACAATCACATCCCACCACTCTGAAGCTCGGTTAAATGTCCAAACAGATGGTCTGTTGCGGCGACTTTTTTGCGAAATGTGGAAGCTCTGTAATACACAGAATACGCATTTTAATATGTTATACTGGCAGTTAAGTTAATTATTTGCTTTGCGACAGAGATAAAAGTTAGCTAGTGATGTGCTTTTAGATGCTTACCCTTGTGCGCCGTCGAGCAAACCAAGTGTTGTC